TTCTCTTTTCCCTTTTCCCTCTTCCTTTTCTTTTCCCTCTTCCCTCTGTCTTCCCTCTTCCTTGTTTTCTCTCTCTTGCCTCTTCCCTCTCTCTTCTCTCTTCCCTCTCTCTTCTGTCTCTCTTCTTCCCTCTTCCATCTGTCTTCCCTCTTCCCTCTTCCTTCCTCCTTCTTCTTTCTTTCTTTCTTTCTTTCTTTCTTTCTTTCTTTCTTTCTTTCTTCCTTCTTCTGAGCAAGACACTGCACCTCTTCTTTTAATAGGAAATATTACTGGTTCTGGGATTTCCTTTTCTTGCTTTCAGGCAGGAAGAACTTGAAAGAAAATCATCCCCTCTGAAGACTGGTGTTCACCATGCAAGCATGTGCAAAAAGCTCTTTTCATTTTAATACCAGTAGATATGTAACCACAACCACAACTCTTGCCCCTCTTGTAATACATGCATCCTCTTCTGCAAGAGGCCTTCCTAAACATCATTTAGGACCATGCATTTCCCTCCCCACCACACTCAGACTTCCTTACTAGCAAGAGGTTTATTTACTCATTCTTCTGTCTTGCACACAGGCAATTTCCCTTGACCCCCAGAGTTGCTTGGTGCATAAATCTGTTCCCTTACTAGCGGTGCAATTAACAAATACCTAATTGCATTCAGAGGTATCTTTGTACCAGTGAATGCCTCAAGTTGTTTCCTGACCTTATTCTTGAAATGACAAAATTATATAAATTCTGTTAATTTTATGTTCTTTTGTTACTTATGTAATCCCTATCTTATCTGTCTTAACCTTTATCCTTAGCAAATCTGCCCACCTATTGCACAAGATGGTGTTGCCATTTTAAACTGGTAGTTAATGGAAAAGCTTTTTTATGAGAACAAGTTATTTCCTTTTAAATACCAACAAAAGAAAAATCTAAAGGTATTAGGGCAAAGAAATTAAACAGCAACTTTTTTATACTCTTTGTTAACCAAACAAATTATCCTAAACACAAGTATTTTTCATCCTGAATCTATCAAGATAATGCACTGTATCAATTTGCATTTGAGTTTTTAACAAAACTATTTCTGTAGAAGCTTATATATCTAGAAAACAATGCATATTAATTCCCTTTAAACATTTAACATATTAAAAAACTATAGAATGTATATATTAACCAGAAGATTTATAAAAGCAATTCAATTTGGAACTGATAATGGAGACTTAGGCACAAGAACACTGAGAAGACATTTTCCACTAAATGTACATTTTTTTTTAAAAAAGATTACCATTTAATTTCTGCAGTATAATTTAACCAGTAAGTGATTTGGCAGTTAAAGAACGAGATTTAAGCAACAAGAAACAATCATTGGTTGGCAACAAGGTATGCATTTATTTGCCCAATGAATTACAGCGGCAGATAAGTTTAAAAGTTGCACTACTGGGTCTGCCTTTAAAAGTTGCACTACTCGGTATTCATATCATCTTCACCTGCAGGAACTTCACTAGTGCTGTTTTCTTTAGGGCCTTGGTTCTCATCTTCATCCACTTCATCCTGTAGGTCTTGAGAGAGTAACATGCGAGCAAGCTTGATGTTTAGTCCTTCACTGTAGTAAAGTTTTCTCTTCAGTTCAAATTGTCGCCGCCGTTCTTGTTTGTTGAGAAGGAGCCGGTTGGTAGGTGCTTTGCCGGTCTCCATATCTTCTATTGATCCTTTGTTTCCGAAAGTGTCCATGTCAGCTAACTTCTTAGCTAGCGTATCCGGGGTCACAATTTCTTTGCCTTCAAAATCTCTCGCAGTATCTTGTACACCAACGAAGTGAGTGCCTGGTTCACTTGCTTTCACCAAATCATAATCCCTGTATGATAAGCAGTGGGTCGCAAGGATGTTGGATTCATCCCACCTCTGAGACTTCTTTCTCTTGATCACTTGGGTTGCTCCTCCAGACTGCTGGCCAGAAACTCCCACGGAGGTGGTCGCCGAACCTTTATTTTTCAGGATCCCCTTGATGGGTCGGTGCGAGGTGCTGTAGGATGCCATTGTGGGCAGCCTAGGGCTGCAAGGAGGGTCGAGCTGCCGAGCAGCCGCTCGCCAAGCTCCGCTCTGGACTGAAGCAGTAGCCGGACTGTGTGGTTAAGGGATACCAGGACCCTTTAATAGCGCCAAGATCCTTGCGTCACAAAAGACGCTGTGAGCAACGTCACAATGCTCCCTTCTTGTCACTTCCGCTGTCATGGCCGCCATCACCACCTTGTTGCCAAGACTGAATTTTTAAAATTCGTTTGTTAATTTTGTTTGGTTTTTACCAGAATAAGATGGGAAATAGCCATGTCTGGCATATTAAAAAAGAACACATTGTTTTAAAAGTTCTCTGCACCTTGTCAGTCTATGGGAAAGCTACCTAAAATGTATTTTTTACTGTCAAAATTTGAGAGCCATTATTTTAATCTCTCCCCCATGTCCACGCACCCTGCCGTCTCCCACATACACTGAATTCCCCACCACCATCACCAAATGGCTTCAACATAAGCTGCTCACACAAGCCAAACCCTTGGGTGTGGTTATTGGTACCTTTACTCTTCAATCCAGCCCTCTAGTGCTGGTCTAAATATTTCAAGAACTTTCATTTTATCTCTTCTACACCCTCCCTCTTTCAAGTCATCATCACATCGCCTGTTGAATACAGGCATACTGAGCTGGGCCCCCATCATTCCCTCCTGCTGCTATCCAGTCTCTTACCAACATCCAGCTGCAGTGATCTTCTTAAAATATCCATCAGGTCTTATCACATCTCTTTCACAAACCCTTCAACAACTACCCATTGTCTTTACTATAAAGATCAAACCCAAGAAGAAGTAAAAACGCAGTTGTATGGGCCTTTGCATCTTGTCATACATCCAGCTGCAGATTTCTGCTCATGAAGTCTTCCCACTTTCCCTCTGGCTTTCTGTTCTAGCCTTTCAGTTCTGGAAACACTCATGATCCTTCCTGCTCAGGAGTCTTTTTCAGATTTTTCCTGGAGCCTGGAGCACCTCTTCAGGTTTCAGTTCAATCATTACTGGTTTATAGGGGTAACTTGTTATTCCCTAAACCAAATACTCCTGTCTATGCTTTCAGTGGCATTTCTTATTCTCCTTGGTACTATTTAAATCGTTTGTAATATATTATCTAATGGTAAGTGTTAACACAAGAAAGAAATGATAAGACTGTTCTTTGGCCAAACTTTAGTCAGTCTCCTCTGAGTGCTCTGTCCAATTGGTCTTGACCTTAGACTTTCCTTAGTGTGCTTGCAGAATCTACTTTGAACAAGAAACCTGCTAAAGTCTGTTCAGTGAAAATTCCTCTATCTCACTTATGAACACACATCCCCATACCAGGCCACATTTCTTGTGCCCCCAAACTAGATATCTAACCAGCCTGGCCTAACTTAAGCAAAACTCTATTTGTTGAGTCACATTTTGTTCCTTCCTACCAACCTTCCAGCTACTGGCCCCACTCAGTTCCTTGATTATATATCACTATTTATCATGTTGAAGTTAGGTCCAATTTCTTTCTTTTACTCCAGAACCCCACTGCAGTACTTCTTATACCTCTTGTAATAATCTCTTTTGAGTAGAGCCTCTATTAATTTATTTATAGTGCTGCACAAAAATTTTATTTTGTGTAGTTATGGTGTCAGTGGTGGAGATAGAATCAGATTCATCAGTGGACTCACAGACCTCTGATCCAGAGCCCCAAATGCTTTGGATGCATACCAGACTTATTCAGTTTTCTGTCAGTGAGACACAATATCCAACACCTGAAAATCAAAGGAGGAGAAGTTTATTTTGGCTTCTTTGGTCCATAGTCAACTGGCTCCAAGGCAGCATAGTACGGCACTGGGACACGGTGGAGGAATACCTGCTCATCCTATGGCAGAGAGTATGGGAGGAGCAGGGTAGGGAAATACACCATTCTAGGCCATGCTCCGCCTCAGTAATCTACCTTCAGGCTTCACCATCCAACATCGCATTTACCTATAAATTGATGAATGAACTAATGCAATGATAAGTATGTCCCAGTGATCAAAGCACTTCCCAAAAGCCCCACCTATGAGTACATGGGTGTTTGGAGGAACATATACATAAATCAAAAACAATATCTTTGAAGCCATTATCATTACTTCTAGTTGACTTATCAGGGTTCCACTAGTGAACCTAACTTCTGAGCCGGTACCCTAGATAATTTTCCAATGAAGGAAAGTGAGGATGGATTGATTCTTAAGATTCTGAGTGTGCAAGTAGATGTTAGGTAAGAGTGTGGGCTTCTTTTAAACTCAATCTGTCTTCTGTTGCTATAACTGAATACCATCAATGAGTAATTAATAAATAATAAATGTTGGATTAATGCTTCTAAAGACTGGGGAGTTGAAGATCAGGCAGTTGTACCTGGCGAGGTGCTTCTTGCTAGTGGAAACTTTGTATAGAATCTCAAAAGAAGTGTAGGGCATCAGAAGTGAGACAAAGCACCCAAACTCAGGTCTTTCCTTCCCTTTATATGAAATCACAGTCTCATTGCATTATGAGCCACAGCCTACCATTATAACCTCACTTGATTACTTCCTAAAGTTGTACCAAATACCACACTTGAATTAAGTCCCTACCTTTATAATATCCCTCAGTGGAAAGTAACTTTCACAGTGGTTGATATATTGTGGCAACTTGAGAAGTTTAGAAGTTTAGCTAAGCAACTCAGCAGGGAGACAGGGTCCTGACTTTGTAAATACCCCAAACTTGTGGAAGAGGATTGGACAGAGATGGTGTGGAGGAATAGCCATGGGTGGGTAGCCAGCATACAATATAAGGGAGGAAAAGAGGCTTGCTCCTCCCTGCTTTTGCTCTCTTCTGCTGCCTTGAGCTTTTGCCCCTGTGCCATGCCAACCTGCCTTGGAGCCAGCGAGTTATGGACTGATTCCTCCACAATTTGTCATCTAAATAAAGTTTTCATTCCTTATTTGGGGGTGTAGGGTATTTTGTCTCAGCAAAGAGAGAAAAGTAACTAACACAAGTTTCAAGATAATTTATGGTAAATATTTTCCAACTACAGCAGTATTTGGTGGACTGGAAGTCTTTATTGCTTTTTGTCTGAGTAACTGGCTCTAGGATAGAAAATTCTCCTGTCTCTATTTTTTTCCTCAAGTAGGGATGACTCTTTGCCCCTCTAGTCTAAATGTTTTTCCCTGAGAAATTGGTAAGTCTCTCTTCTCTCCCTTATCCTAATTCTCCCGTAGAAACATTTCAAATGTCTGAACTACCACATCTCAAAACTGTTCATGACTATATATTCTCACAGAGTTGTTTACTTCCTTTCTAAGAAGTATGATTTGCTGAAGATAATTTTTAATTTTAGTGGCCTCTTGGGGAAATTTGAGGTCTCTCCAAACCAGCTCTTCTAAGCCCACATTTTTCACATCCCTTCTGTTTCTCCTTCTTATTCTTCTCATCTTCAATCTTCTTTTCAACTTCTGTGCATCCTTTGGTATGTCCCCTTTCCAAACCTTACTTCCTTCCAGACTCTGATCAGCCCTGCTAGATCTTTTTATTTCCATTATACTTCTTCAATTTCCTTAGTCACATCAACTTTAAACCCCTATCACCATTAAGGGCTCTCAAGGGATTCAGAAATCCCTGAAACTAACTACCTGAGGCAGAAGGGGAAAAGAACAATTGGAAACATATATATTTTATCTTCTCAGATAGACTTTGGATACATATACTTGATGTCCCCACAGTTTCTTATCCAAAAATTAGTCAAAAACCTCCACGGATTTGGGCATGGTAGGGCATGACTATGATCTCAGAATTTGGAAGGCTAAGGTAGAAGGATGACAAACTCAAGCCTAGGCTGGGCAAATTAGTAACTTAGAAACACCCTCTTCAATAACTTAAAAAGAGGGTGAAGGTTGGGAATGTATTTCTGTTGAAAGTCCCTGAGTTCAGTCCCATAAGAGACAAAGAAGAGAGCCTCCTAAAATTACATATTAAGGATGAGTGAAAAAGGAAAATTTTGATGTCTCCACAAGAATTAGTGAAAAGCCTTTATTGAGTAACAATCACAACTTGTTCTATGTTTGTGAGAAATACAATTTAGATATAATAAAGTTGGGATACACCAGTGAGTTTTCTAAGTGTGTTGGTAGATTCACAGCCATAATCCTAGAATAAAAGATGTAGAATATCTGTTTGCACATGCATCAATGTGTAAATAAATAAGACTTACATAAATTAAGTATTCCTAAAACTCCCAGAAACTAACACAAATACTTCTCAATGTCACATGCCTTGGGTATACATTTTTATAAATAAGATTGACTTAACAAAAAGGAAACTGTCTTCTGACTTATGAGCATTAAGTATAAAAGGAGCATACATTTTTAATTCTATGTGAGTTTCATGGTGTACTATCTCTACTAAATGTTTAAAAGTATAAAATTATAAAAGTGCAACCTAAGAAAGGTAACCTGATACACACATGCTATGAAAATAGTTAGCAGGGAAAAAATTTGACATGATTGGTACCCTTGATTAATGTCATAAAGACTGCATAAAAACAGTGTGCAAAATCTTTGGTTATGTGAAATCTTAGATCTATAGTAAGTTAAATCAAGTAATAAATATTAAATATCTATATCATTTCTAAGTAATGTAAACTACCAAATCACTAATTAATGAACCAGCATTTAGTTTTACATATATATTGTTGGCATATATGTGGTATAGAGAGACTAAAATATATTAAGCATATTAAACACAAAAATTATGAATTAGCATGTATCTACAAGAAATATAAGATGACATATTTGTACATTGTGCTAGTCTGTTTGTACAGAATTCTGACATAAATCAGGTAGTTCATGATTGTACTTCCTAGTTTGCTCCATAAACAAACTTTGTAGTTAAAAATTATGATCAAGATATATTATTAAAACCAGCAGAAAAAATAAGGGTAAAGGAAAATCTTTTTGTATTAAAAATGTGTGAGGAAAGTAGATTTTTTAACAAACAAGTATAAAAGGTACAAAAAATAATACATTCTTTTGTGGAGAAGGAGGATCTGACACCAACACACT